CCTCCATACCTCCTCCTCCTCCTCCTCCTCCTCCTCCTCCTCCTCCTCCTCCTCCTCCTCCCTCCGCCGAGTGGCGTTCGGCCGCGGGCGCCTGGCCCTGCCTACCCCAGCCCCCCCCCCCGGCGTCTCCCTTTTTTGTTCGAGGGGATCATTCCCAGGCCCCGGGTGGGACAGCCAAGTGCGAGTTCGGATGGAAAACTCGGGGGCGAAAAAGAGGGGGGAGATGACTAGGGAGAGGTGGATATCATGGCGTTGGCCATGATATTTCCCCAGATTTCATGGCGCCTCTTCTTATTTTATTACGTCCCTGACCCCCCCGCTGGGCCGCGCACATGCCGCCGGCCATGATCTGCACCCCCCCCTCTTGGACACCCCCCTCTTGGCCGCTCCCGAGAAAACCAGTCCCCAGGATGGGGCCTGCCAGATGCCGCTCCAGGGTAAGTTTAGGGCTGACGTTGGCTTTATCAGATTGGCCTGTTCCGGTCCAGGGTGGGTTGGGGTCGGCATTTCTCGGGCAGTTTCTTTATATCTGCGCCGATGTGTCGTTGCACGGCGTCGGACCCAGACTTCCCGCATATTGGTTCTGTCCTATCCGCTGGCCCCAGAAGTCTCAACCCGTTGGACGGGGCCTGCGCCGCATCCTCGATACACGGGGGGGAGGAGCAGGGAGGGTGGGTAGGAGGAGGATGAGGATGAGGGGTGAATTCAGGGACCCTGCTGCCTTGCTGCCTGCCGGCGGCAGGGCCCGCCTGCGGCCCTTCAGGGGGCCTTGGGGAGCCAAGAGAGAGAGAGAGAGAGAGAGGGCAAGCGAAGCGCGCTCGCGCCATGTCTGGCTTCCCATCCCTCCCTGCCATCCCTTCCCATTGCGCCGAATCGTTCCCTGTTCGCAGACGCGTGTCAAAGTTGACCTGGAGCTCCAAGGAGACCCTATCGTGATGCGCAGTCGGAGGAGGGTAGCTGCGTGCATCTATACATATATATATAGTGCTTGAATGATGGGGTACTCCTGTTGCCTGGGCCGTCTCATACTTGTGGCGTCTTGGGCCCGTTTTCCGTTCCGCAGTCCCACGGCTCAAGTTTTTTTCAGGGTCCAATGCCTCCGCAGGGACTCGGGAGGGTTCTTCTTGCAGCCCTCACAGGAGCGTGGTTGGCCCCATCGCCTCTCCGTGTCTGGCTCGGCGCGTCGAGCGGCGCTCCCCTGGCGCCGAGCTGCGCTGCCCCTGCTCCGGCGCCGCGCTGGAACGGCAGCTGCCCTGCGACCTGTCCCGACCTCAGCGAGGTCCTGGCAGAGCTCCGAGAGCAGCGGCGTGAGCGCGAGCGGTCGGCTGCTGGGCGCGAGGAGGCGCGGCAGCAGGGCGTGCCTTGGTGCGTTGAGGTGGTGACGGCCGTCCTGGGGAGCCTGGCCTTCTACGCGAACGTGGTGATAGGACTCATCTGGTCCTTGCTCGTCTTTGTTCTCAATGGCCTTCGTGGATGTCGCCAAGTATGGTCTGCACGCTGGAGAGAGAGTGCATCTCTTGTGCGGAGACGAGCCGAATCTCTGGCACGAGGTGAGCATTCCCCGCAAGAGCCCCGAGACGTGCTACGGGAGGGTCCACGGCGAGGACCTTTCGATGAACGATTGGATCTGGTGGAGTCTGACAGTGGACGGCGACGTGTACCCGCAGGATCTCTTCAAGCCCGGGAACCTGCAGGCCCTCCGATTGCTTGACGCTGAGGGTGAGGGGACTGGGACTATGTATGGCCGAGGTCCCGCCGTGGAGCCTCGATATGCCTTCGGGGCGGGTCGGCGAGGAGGTCCTCTCGATGTGCCTCTCTTTCTCCGTGCCAAGGCTGTGGTTGACGAGGAGAAGCGTAAGGAGGGTGGCGGTGGATACGCCCCCGTGGCAAAGCCGCCGCCTTCCGCTCCGAATGGGAAGATCTGGCGGATTGCTCCTTCTTCAGATCAGTCCTTCAGTCGTGGATCCGTGGATCCGTCTGTGGTCGGGGGTCATCCCTTCACTCTCGTAAAAAAGGGAACGCTGATGCCATGATGGTGGTCACTCCTGGAGAGATCTTGCAGTGTTGCACGGCCGCCTCCGACTCGATCGACGAGGATATGGACACTCGGACTCTTCCAGTGGTGTGGCGGTGCAACGCCCGCCGCCGCCGCTTTGTGGAGGGCGTCGACCTGATGCAGCGCCACGGCTACGGCGACTCACCGCTCGAGGGGGAGGCGTCCATTCTCTGGTACTTGGAGGAGATCGCTCGGAGTGGAGAAGGTGGCCCCATCCAGCGTCACTACAATTGGGCTCATCAGTTGAATTCCGGGGGTGATCGTTCGGTGCCTGGGCTTTTCTACATCATGAGGGTCCTCGAGCTGGCCGCCGAGGTGGACTAGCTCTACATCCCCACTCTGGTCTCTCTGGAGGCGCTTGGGTGGGGCGCCATGCTGATCGAGCGGGCGCTTCTCGACTCCCCTGAGGGCACCGACTACACCGTTGCCGACGACTTCATGGGTTGGGGCCCGGGCCATGGCAAGGCTCGGGTCGCTCCGACTTTGGTCAAGCACGGGGTCGAGAAGGCACGCGGCAAGGCATCTGTGTATAAGGAGGTGCTCAAGTACAATGAAGAACTTCGTTTGAGGAAGCCGCCCAAGGGCCCCGAGAAGGAGGGCCTGGGTGGCGATCATCCATGATGGACGGCGACGGCCTCCCCTGCGGCCCGAGGGTGGGGCCGAGATCTAGGGCGCTCCCGGCCAGCCGGCTGGGCTTTCTCGCTGGTGTCGTCGCCCAAGGGCGTGACGTCCCGCGTGAACTCCTTCCTCTACCTTATGTTCCTCAGGAGCCAGTCGCTGGTTCCCACCTTTCCCGAGGAGTTCGACAGCGGGTCCAGGGACGACGTCGGCTCACGGACGAGGTGAATGAGAGCATCTGGGCCCTCAACTGGCTCGTGGGTTCCTCCGCCGCCGACACAGAATTTTCTTCTCTGGGACAGCGGGCCACCGTTGACCACCTGTACGACACCATCAATTCTTTTCGGCCGCCCTCTCAGACGGCCTCGGACGAGGAAGCAATGCGTGCGCTTCTCGGCAACAGAGTCCCCTATGGCGGGGACGATGACCTGACAGTGGTACCCTACGACCGTGCTCTGGTGTCTATCCCTGGTGACGGACGCGTTCCCGTGCCCCTTACCGAGGTGCTGCCGCCAGATGCCGCAAAGATGATCGTAGATTTTGATACCCACCTGCTCAAGGACGCCAACCAGTGGGGAGCGGAGGTGGAGCATGGTCTCGAGCACATCGGTTCCTACATGGACCCCCGACTCCGCTTCAGCCGCCGCAGCTATCTCAACTTCATCGGTGACCTGATCAGAGGTGGGCTTCTCGCCTGGCGACGGGCCGGCCAAGTTCGAGGCAGGATCTCGGTATTTTTGTACGTAAGAAGTCGGGCAAGCAGCGCCTCGTCGTCGACTGCAGGCGCGTCAACGCCCGCTTCCGAGAGTGTCCCCACGCGCCAATGGGTTCAGGATCTTCTTGGGCCGACGTCGTGATGGACACGGACTCTGACATGTATCTCTCGCTTAGTGACGTGAAGGACTACTTCTACGCCTGTGGTCTGCCGCCAGGCCTCGAGAGCTTCTTTTGCCTCCCTGATATCACTGGGGAAGAGCTGAAGGTGGTCACCCAAGGCGATCCCTCATTTAGGCACTTGTGGGGCCCCGTGGCGGTCGCCCCCGCTATGAGGGTGATGCCGACGGGATGGACTTGGAGCTTCTTCGCGCAGGTCTTGCACGTTCACCAGGTCCACCAGATCAGGCCCTGGGTGTCCGGCGCGGCCATGCAGGACCGCGTCCCTCCGCCTCCTTTCAGGACGGGGACCGAGCTGGCCCTGCCCTACTGCGACAACTTTGCGGCGGCTGCCTCTTCTCCAGCCCAGGCCGACGCTCTCCGAGAAGATAGCAAGCGCCGGATGACCTCGCTCGGCTTCGAGGTCCACGAGGAGGAGGCTGCCCGCCCCTGGGCCGAGTCCTTGGGGTTCGCCATCGACGGACTCACTGGGGAGCATCGCCCTAGCCCTGCCAAGGCGCGGCGCCTCCGCCAGGTCTGTCGTCGCGTGAGCCGCCAGCGACCCTGGCTCAGTGGTCGTCAGCTGGAGCGGCTCTTGGGACATGCTACTTTCCAGTTTCTGGGGCATCGGCCGCTGCTCTCTATCTTCCGCAGCTGCTACACCTTCGCGCAGTGCCACTACCTCCAGCCGCTGCGGCTCTGGCGGACCGCCGCCGAGGAGCTCCGGGCTGCCGCCGCTCTGCTGCCCTTTGCGCGGGCCAACATGCGGCGACCCTGGGCTTCGGAGGTGGAGGTTTTCGACGCTTGTCTTGCTGGTTGCGGAATCATGACAGCGACCCTGCCGAAGGATGTGGTCTCTGAGATCGGGAAGGTCGATGAGAGGTGGCGCTACGCTTTCCAGTACGAACAACCTGGCGGGCCTCGTGAGCACGCCCTCCGTTCAGCTCCCCCCGTCGAGGAGTGTTTCAGCAACGCGGAGACCGTTCTCCCTCGCGACTGGTCTCGGCGGCGGTGGCAGCCCGTGCAGGACTTCCCGGAGGTCCCAGCTTCCATTTTCCAGGACTTCGACTGGCGCGAGTGCGTGGCTGGCCGCTGGAGAGACGAGGAGCATACCACCATGCTTGAGGGGCGCACAGGGCTGATATCTGCGCGGCGCACTTGCCGTTCGCTGCTCAACCGAGGCAAGCGACATCTCAAGATAGGTGACAATCTGGGCATGATCCTTGCTTTTGCCAAGGGGCGGGCAGACAACTTCGGCCTGCTGATGCTCTGCAGGAAAAATGCCGCGCTCACCGTCGCTATGGACATGACCATTCGATGGCGCTGGATTCCTTCAGAGATCAATGTCGCTGATGCCGCCTCCCGTCGTTATCTTACAGAGGATCACCGCAGCCGCGAACGAGGTCTGGCCCGTCTCAAGCTTCGTGGAGGCTCGGGCCTGGGGCCGCCCGCGGCTGCTCGCGCGGGTGAGGGGGCGACTGCTGCCGCCTACTCAGGCCAAACGGTCCCATGGCGAGGCATCTGCTGGTCTCCCGCGGGGGCCCGCCGGCAGCCGCCCAGCCAAGGGGCCGCGGGTCTCGGGCGTGCTGCAGGCGCCGCCTCACCAGGCGTGCTCCGCCCCCCGCGAGGTCAGCCGGGGGCCGCCGCCCCCGACGCACCGCCGCCGGCCCTGGGCCGCCTCAGCTCGGGCGCTGCCAGCCAACGCCGGCTGGAGCCGCAGGCTGCAGACCCTGGCGCGGCAGGCGCGGGCGAGGACGCGCCCGGCGGCAGTCAAGGTGGGAGACCACGAGATGCAGGAGGAGCTCGAGCTGAAAGGGATCATGGTGAGCCTCCTCAAAATGAAGTCCGTCGGAAGGCAGTCGATCCCCTACTATCTCCAGAAGTTCAAGGAGTTCTTGGACTTTGTGGTCGCCCACGTTTTCGACCTCCACAAGGACGAGGACGTAGACGAGGTGTGGGTGCAGCTGATGGACCTGATGTACTTCGATGGGTGGCCGGCCGACCAGGGCGGGAAGCTGCTCGCGGCGGTGAAGCTCGGGATCCCACGCTTCTCCAGAGCGGGGCGAGGCGGGCTGCCGCTCGCGGCCCGCGCCCTCGGCGGCTTTCTGACGCCCGCTCCCGAGGCCTGCCGCCTCGGCCTTCCGCAGGCGTGGGTCGTCGCGTACATCGCGGCGATGCTCTGGCGCGGGAGGCTGGAGAGCGCCCGCCGGGTGTTGGTGATGCACGACGCGTACCTGCGCACTGGCGAGGCGACGCGGCTCCGGGCCGAGGACTTCGCCCCGCCGATCGGAGACCGTCGCGGCCACGAGCGCGGCGTGCTCACCCTCGGCTCCTCGAGCGTCGTGATCCCCGCCAAGAAAGGCGTGCTGGACGACGCGGTCACCCTGTCAGACTGGGACTTTCGGATCAGCAAGGTACTGGGGCTCCTGAAGGACCAGCGGGCCCCGCACGAGGCCCTGTTCGTCACGAGGCCCGCTGCCGTCAGGAAGGACTTCGATCAGGCTTTCCTCGACCTCGGGCCCGACAGGCGGAACCTCACGAGCTGCCAGCTCCGGCGCAGCGGGCCGAGCCGAGACGCCCTTCTCGGGCGCCGCACGCTTCCCGACATCATGAGGCGCGGCAGATCGGTGAAGAGGTACGAGAGGGGCGGAGTACTGCAGAAAGCACTGGCCGGCAGCCCGAAGGTGCTACTCGACCTCGCCGTGGTTGCCGAGTCCTCCATCGCGGGAGCGCTCCTTGGACAGCCGTCCCGAGTGGCCCAGCCGCCCCGTGCCTGAAGCGCCGAGTTGCGGCCGAGATTTTCTCCGGCTCAGGGCAGCTCGCCCGCGCTCTCGCTCGGAGTGGAGTGCCCACGGAGGCCTACGACGTCGCCGACGGCCCTGGCGCTGACTTGCTGCGGCCGAGCGTCGTGAGGCTTCTTCGGGACAAAATTCGTGCTGGCTCTTTTTGTTTCGTGTGGTTCCGCGTGCCTTGTAATACTTTCTCACGTGCCACCGACCGTCCCAATGGCCCTCGCCCTCTCCGCTCGAACACTTATCTGCATGGTCTGCCCGACCTCGATGCAAAGCAGCGTGCACGTGTGTCAAACGCCAACAAGTTATTGCTCGTGAGTGCAACAAATGTCACGTTCCATGGGTTTTAGAGAATCCTCGGACCTCCCGCCTGTGGCTTTTAGATGAGATACGGATTCTTGAGAGGAAAGCGTCCTCTGTAGTGTTAGACTACTGCATGTATGGGACGCCCTGGAGAAAGTGCACTCGGTTTGTTGGCACTCTCCCGGGTTTGGAATCGTGGGAACGCCGATGTACGGGACGAGTGTGTCGGCGTACTGGCCACCGCCACCAGGCCCTCGAAGGCAAAGACCCCTCAGGCGCTTTCTGGGCCAGGCGGGCTGAGCCATATCCCACATCTCTCTGTAATGCTATCTCCTCCTCTGTCGTCGCCTCCCTCCCTCCTCTCCCTCATTAGAACAGCTTCTGGTGCTGGGGACGGGTGGTGGACCCTCGCCGTTTCTGTACGTCTCATCGTGTCAGTTTCGCTCGGGCCCAGTCTTGAGGCAGGCGATGCCTCTAGGTGGCATCTCAATATGATTCCAGTTTCCCTGGTCTTGGCATAAAGGAGTGCTTGAATGATGGGGTACTCCTGTTGCCTGGGCCGTCTCATACTTGTGGCGTCTTGGGCCCGTTTTCCGTTCCGCAATCCCACGGCTCAAGTTTTTTTCAGGGTCCTCCTGCCTCCTCTCTTCCCCCGCTTCTTTCTGTGTGGTGGACCCTCGCCGTTTTTGTACGTCTCATCGTGTCAGTTTCGCTCTGGCCCAGTCTTTAGGCAGGCGATGCATCTAGGTGGCATCTCAATATGATTCCAGTTTCTCTGGTCTTGGCATAAAGGGTATATATATGTATATATATATGTTCATATATATATATATATATATATATATATGTTTATACATATATGTATTTGTATACAGATGTGTATATATATATATTGTATTAAGGGGGAGGAGGGCGAGGAGGAGGAGGAGGAGGTAGGAGCAGGAGGATGAGCAGGAGGAGAAGGAGGAGGATCAGGAAGGAGGACGACGAGGACCAACACCAGCAGCAGGAACTGGAGTGGAAGGAGTGGGAGGAGCAGGAGGACCAGGGGAAGGCGGAGGAGGGACAGGAGGGAGCATAACGATGAAAAAGGATTCGGATCCAGAAAGGTGGCCCGCGCTGGGGCGAAAGCGCCATTCTGGACGACGGGAGTACAGCGCCGATCTGAAAATTAGGCACACGCTGCAGCGGAGCACCATTCTTGAAGCGCCGACAGCAACCATGTTGCAAAACACATCGGAACAAAAATCACACTCGGCCGAATCCAGTGCGCAAGGAAAGGACGCGAAGGGTGGCCGGGATCTTTCGGCCAGGTCGAGGGAAGAGGAGAGTACAGTATTCGTACTGTGTCATCGCTGAGGACGTGGAGGACGGGGCAGGGGGCAGCGAGGGAGGGAAGGAGGAGAAGCATGAGGGCGAGGAGCAGGGGGAGGAGGAGGGAGGAGGAGGGAGGAAGGACGAGAGGAGGGGGCGGAGGAAGAGGGAGAGGAGGGGCGAGGGGGGTAGTAAGGAGGGGCAGTCAGTGCTGCTCCATTCGTGCAGCGGGCTTTCATCCACGTCGGCGCGCCCGCGCCGGCGTCGTGATGCTCTTTGTACAGCGAATTTCCCCCGTGGCCAGTGGTCGGTGGTTCAAAGATGGGGCCCCGATGGATGGGTCGCTGAGGTCGGGGGCGGCCAAGAGGGGGGTGACGACTAGGGGGGTGGATATCACGGCGTGGGACCTGATATTTCCAGAGATCTCGTGGCTCCTTTTCCCATTTCATTACGTCCCTGGCCCCCCCCTGGGGCCGCGCACATGCCGCCGGCCATGATTTGCGCCCCCCGCTCTTGGACGCCCCCCTCTTTGGCCGCTCCCGATAAGGATAGGGCGTGGATTACACGTTGAACCTTTACTGCTTTAGACTCTCGTCCTCTAGGGCCTCAGTCCTCAGGGTCCCATCTTTGAACCGCCGAAATTGGGTCGTCCACGCGAGGTGCTCTAGTTACTAGGCTAGTGGCTCGCGGGGTCCTCACCGCCACTAGTCCGCCTACGAGGTTTGGGATGTGCCGCTGCTCTTTGTCTATTCCCTCTTTCTGTCCAGCCCTCCAACGTCTCAACAAATCCCATGCAAGGCGGGAGTTTGTTTCGTCCGTCGTTCTGGGTGCCTGGAGGCTAGCTCCGGGCTCTGGGGCCGCGTCACAGACGATCTGGGACGAAGCACCGATCCCCAGGAGGATGTCGAGAGTCATGGCCGAGAAAGAAATGGCATGAATTTTGGGCAAATCAAGCCGGAACTCACGCGCAGACTCAAGATGTCCGTCACTAGGCGCTTGACGACGATTTCGGTCTGGCTCAAGGTGCAAACTTCCAGAACTCCGCGCGGATTTCTTGTGGACCCCTGGCGGCGCCTCTGGCGCCGCCCCTGGTGCGTTCCGTGCGCCAGGGAGGGGTCCAACGCCATTCGAGGAAATCCGCGCGGACCTCCGACAGTGTACCCATCGGTCGATGGCATTAAGTAAGTTTGGATTCCCAGAACCCAGTCTACTTCAAGCGCCTTCCTACTTCAACAATCGATATGGTTTGGCTGTTGCTTGTTATTCTCTGGGCGAGCCCGAACCCACTCTACTGTATCCGCCTTCCTACCTCATGTTTCTACCTACTTCTGCCGACCGGCGTGTATGCTTGTGCCGTGTTCTGTTCCTCGACCCGGCGACGTTGACAAGCAAGCGCAGGCGACGGTTCTCCCCCAGTCGCCGAGTTCCGCCCGGAGAGGTTGGCCGTTCAGAACATGGGGGAAATTTTGGGATACGCGACAAGGCGAAGTAAGCATAAACTTTTGGCGCTCCGCGCGGATTTCTTGGAGCCGCGCCGGGCCCCCCGGCGGCGCCTCCGGCGCCGCTTCCGGCG